AAGTGTTCTTTCTTTACAACTGCACAAATTAAACATCAACAAAGTGCTGCAAACTACTGACAATGAAGCTATAAAATAAAAGTACACTGCAGGCATCACCTAGTAGCAGTGTTTACAGCTGGTTGAAGATGGCTCACACCACCAAAGGAGCCTTATCATGACTCGCCACTCTTTGCTCATGATGCATTGCTTGTCCACGAGCATCTACTGGATATGCTGGCCCGTAAGCACCTGGGTTATAAGCTGGCAACTGAGCACCTGGGGCATAAGCTGCTCCACCAACCTGCATGGATGTATGGGACACCACCACCCCGGGTGCACCCATTGGTTGCTGGGCTATCATCACCATGGGTGGATCCTGTAAGGAACAATGATTTATAGTGAGGGGAAAATGCAATATTTATGCATGATTTAATCTATTTGAAACATTAATAAAAGTTATGGTGGCAGATGAATAGCAAGATCAACCACAGGCAAATTTTTCCCTGCACTCACTGCTGACTGCATTTTCTGAAGTGAATGAGTGGGAAGGGCTAGGGAGGCAGGAAAGAACATTAGCCAGGATGGGACAGATGTAAAATTTAAAAAATTGTCGAATAGTATTTTAAGATTACATTCTGAGCAGTCAGAGGAGTGACATAAAATGTTAGTTTACTCTCCCCTCCCTAGTCAGTCATAATGTATGTCATGTGACTAAGCACACAGAATACAGTAACACACTTGAAGTTGTCAGCCATCTTTGAATGCCTGTTCTTCTGAAAGGAATTTTCAAATCTAACTGAAGCGAACCAAAACCAGTACATGTACATATGGAAGTTTTGAAATATAACCCTCCAAAAGTGTGGTTCAAGAGTGTACGGCAATGTCGAATGCTATTCTGGGTAATGGTGGTTTGTGGTGCTTGATGGAAGCTGAAGTTGTTTAAGGTTGATAGAAGGAAACAATACAAACACATACATAAATTTAAGCTTCTTCCTTATTCTTGTTGCTGACACATTGTGCATATTACTACCCATAATACCAGTAGTAATACTCATCTGCGGGGCAACCTCTGTCAAAACTGCTGTATATCAAGAGCAATAGACCATCTTTCAGTTGTCTGTTCAATGACCTGGCCTTTGAACGGCAGCACAGCTGCAGGTGACCTTGTTTTGATAAACACCTCACTGTTTTTGCTGTGTAAATTAAGTTGTGCTAACTTATGCTAACTAGTTGACATTCAAAAGAAAAAAGCAGAGAGGTCTGTGTAATATATTCGTAACCGGAAGTTGTGTTAAGCTGTTGTATTACCCAAGATGCTTAGAGAATAAAGTTGTTGTGTTAAGCAAGCCTCGTCAACTGGTGTTGTTATGTCACCGAACCATACTTTTGCTAGTATGTTACAGTCTGTATCAAAGCAAGGTCATCTCCAGCCTTGCTTACATTCATAGGCCAGGTAACTAAGCACACAACTGTAAAATGGCCTATTCATTGAAGTTGAGTATTCTAATAATTAATCAGCTGACAAGACTAAGTTGACTCCAAATGGAATGGGAAGTCAAACTTCTTGGGATGCAGTCAGAAGCGACCTTATAGACAATAATGACAAAATTGCCTAAGGTAACAAATTACACTCACAGTGGAGGTTTACGTACAGTTGTGTCATACAAATTGTCATTTCAATACAAGTCGTTTCGATACAAATCAAAGTCAATTTGATACACATCTAAAGTTGATCCGATACAAACTGAAGTCGTGTCATAGCAAAATTAAAGTACAAGAAATATCCCAACGAAAGTGCTTTCATCTTTGCATCGCATATTATGACAGCGATCGATTGAAAGTATGCGGTTTCTGGAGTTAAACTCATCCCAGAAGAAGAAACATTTATCTAGAGATCTTGGAAATTTTTCCGCTAAATACGCTGTAGCTTCTTCTCTGAAACAAGCCAGATTTGAAGGGAAGACAGACGAGCCTCATGGTGGAGCCAATTGTTCACTATTAAACAAAAACATTTATAGTAGCTTTGCTTGGCATTTCTAAACATGGAAATTCTATATTAATAATGATTTCAGACTGCCGGGTATTTAGTTTAGTTTCTGTAGCGAATCAAAATAATTTAGGTAAAATGGAGGTTGGATTGAATTGACTTCAGTTTGTATCAAATCGACTTAAGATGTGTATCTAATTGACTTTCACTTCTATTGAAATGACCTGTGTTGAAACAACTTTGTATCAAAACGACCGGACACCAGTGGCGATGGCGTTCTTTTGCTATTTTACATTGCAGCTGTAATTCATCAACAATACATGTTACTTATGATTGACTTGATCCTTCAGTAAATTATACAGTACTTGTAGCCTTCCCACCTGTGACTGCAGATAACTGGTCAGTTCATATATCAGTATTTTGACCCACTTTTTTCCCCACAATTTATCACATTTCTAACTAAACTAAGAATAATGCAACCCTTCATTTCTGTCAAGCTTGATTTTTATGTTTATAGTACTATTAAGAAAGTAATGTCCTTACCGGTGGAGCACAGCAAGTTGCAGCACAACCCAAAACGGATCCAGCGAAGGCCAAAATAGCAGAGGCATAACAAGAAGCCAAGATTACATAAAAAACAACCAAGACATTTTTCAACAGATCACAGTCGTCAACTGGTATAACAGAGGCAAAATATTAAAAAAAAACTTCAATTAGTGATCATTGACACAATATACATTGTATGTACCCATAATTGGCTTAAATCAGTTGCAAGCTTACACTTCTAGATCTTTCTGTAGTACAATAGTTCCACCCAGAAACAAGATATGGGCATGCAGATAGAAAAGCTTTGAGTTAAGGTGGCGTCAAAACTGTGTCCGGCACTTTTCAAGACACAAATTTTGATGGGTCATATGCATTAATAACCACTCTTTATTAGTTGATGCTACAAATTAATGTTGACACTATGTTACTATAGCAACAGTATGACCTGTTAAAAACACGCGTAATTTTAACTATGAGTCTTTAATAATATATTTTAGGGTGGCGTAGAACGTTTTTTAAACTCTGCCAAAAGTTGAATACATGGCCTTACGTGCCTACTGGTGCCTTGAGAACTGATGATGATGAAAAGTTGAATATCATCCTACCTATTAAAATTCAATAATACACCGTGCGGTTTTTGTTGTCATGCTCATGCATGCATTCTTTGGTTTTCTTGGAAGGACACCAAGAATTAAAATTTAGTTTTATGGAATCATTTCTCAATTGAATGATAATTGTATCTACCAATAAAGGTACAATTTGGCACGCAATTGTGTCTGCATGAATTCTGTAATCTTACCATTATAAGTATCTGGGCTATAGTATTCATTGTAACAAACACATCGGCCGGCTACAGTCTCACAGTTGGAGATATCGACTACTAGAGTACTCCAAATGGATAGGGCAATGGTGGCAACAATAGCTGCACCTGCTGTCACAATCGTCATAATAATGCTCAGCACCAAAAATGTAACCATCTAAAATGAGTGACAGAACATAACATTACATATTAGCCACAAAACAACTTGTGACATGAAATTTGGTCACTCACTTCTGCTTCAAAGCAAATAGAGGCCATTGACACATTATATTTAATTCAAACAGGACACTATTCACTTGCTTTTAATTTACTGCCTTACTGCCCTCATTTAAAAAAGCTGGCATGACCTGTTAATTTAACACTGGATGCCCAATTAAGATTAGGGGTTCTGTAATTTGAATTTCCATTCCGGATTAAAATGTAGCCTTGCGCTGTCCACATAAAATGATATTAAAATTATGCCTTTTACCTATAATATCATCTACAATAAGATGAAATGTTCAAAAATATTAGTCCTGACCCAACAGCAGTTGAACCCATGACCTCCAAGAAACTAGACAGGTTGCAGGGCATTCCCAAACCACAGAGCTACGGGCCATAATTTTACCAGCTAATGTTCATAAATTATTTTATACGTGCATACTGCTAGGAGGAAGTTGATCACTATCTGTGAATATTAAGTGCCCCATTTTGATGTAAATTTCTTACTAAGGCCCGCCCCCAAATAAGCACCATCCTCAAATAATTACCATACCTAGAATGTGGTGCTTCATTTGGGTTTATTAATTATTTTAAATATTAAATAAGTTGTAGAGAGCTGTCGAATGCTAACTTGAAGAGTTTTAAAGAACAGTTTCATCTCAGGAGTGCATTAGTTTGGATCTTAAAGTTGTTCCACCACTCTTAAACTACTTTACTGTTTTTGTTAAACAAAGAAAAAGGATTTTCAAAAAAATGAACAATTTTGAATATTAAGTAATGCCCCTGAATAAGTGCCAGCCTCACGGAAAAGTGCCGCATCAACAAGTTGATAACTTAAATAACAGCCACGGCACTCTTTCAAGTAAATACAGTGGGTGTTATAATGATAACTAATACATGGACCTTATGAAAGTTGTACACTCTACCATAAGTGTCCTGCAGAATTTATTCAATTAATCCTGGTAGCCCACAAAAGATAACTGCATAATGATTCAGACATACTTACACAGCACTGATTCTTTGAAATGCCAGCAGCAACTCCAAATGCCCCAGTGACGAGAAACTACAAGTAAAATATCCAGTACAAGAATGTTAACTAATTAACAGTTTTGTATCAATTAATTTATTACAGCAGGGTATGTAAATTAAACCTGTTGTATGCTTAACCCAACAAAAAGCAGGCAGTTGTTGGAATGCCATCACTGACCTTGAGGTCCCCAACAATATCATCCCTGTGGTAGACAGATCTGACACCCCAGATGACATTGACATGAACTTAAAATATAACTACAGAATTGACTTTAGAGGAAAAAACTACAAGCAGACCATAATCAGGGATGGATCCAGGATTTTACACGCAACTGGGTGTTTGCACCCACTTAGCTAGTGGGGCATGCTCTCCCATGAAAATTTGAAATTTAGTTCTCTCAGAATGCAGTTTTCCTACATTCTGAGAGATTTACAAATGTAGAAACATTTGTAATGAGTGATTTCCAGAAATCACTTGTTTTGAACTACTCTGGATTCACCCCTGATAAACCCACCTCTAATACTTGTAATTTAATGATCCCATGTATATATATTATGTAAGTATAATATGTCAAAATTTATGTGATCTTTTAAATTCTTCTGAAATATTTTGTCATGCGGTACGACAAAATGTGTAGCCTGCAGAACAGGCGTAATTTTTTCACGTATTTTAGATGAACAGAGGCGAAAGCAAGGCAAGCACGAAGCGTGAGTCGTGCATGAGGGGAAGAGCATGAAAAAAACAAGATGCCTAAAGGTGATTCTGTGGGATGCTTTGGCTAGAGAGCATAGCATTGGAATGAACTGTAAAGTTACAGTTAAGTGCCACGATTAGTCAGTTACATCAGCCATAGAAATCACTGTAGAAAGTGTTGAAGAAACCATCACTGTGTTTATGGTGGAAAATAGGGTAGGCAGAAAATTACTATGTGAGCAGAGCCTCCTTCCCTGGCTCCTATTTCTTCTTTCTTCTTTCTGGGAACAAGAGTAATTGCGTGGTGTTAAGAAATGGCATCAAAACTTAAGATGAAGTAATATTGCAACATGAAAAATGGATTTTTTTTCTAATGAGGCCATATCACTAACATTGAGAACTAGCTGCCAGAAAATCTTTGAGACATAAATGGTGATGCAACGTTTTCATTATTTGAAGACAGAAATATTGTGAATTGCTGTATTGCTGTCAATGAACATAACGAGTCTACTAAAACATTAACAGGCTGATTAAAGAACTGATTGTCTGTTATATAATTAGAAGCTCTTTTCTGTGAGAGAAGAACTGAAGCACATTAACAAAAGTATTGATTGTCTTTACAGGCTCACTTGTGTGAGAGGAAAACGTAACGCAACGTAACACAACGTAACGTAACTGGTTGATAATGTGTGCTTGTTTATTCGAGATAACGAAAGGATTAAAGCTTCATGAGAAGCACGAGGAATTCTTAACAAATATTTCCCTTTGTATTTATAAATGTTAACAGTGGAACACTGAAAATAAAATAAACATTGACTGGAATAATCCTTCTCGCAAACACTATTTACATGTGCGTTCAGGTAAAGAGGTAAGCTCAATGTCAGCAAGAATACACAAAACCTTTAACATACACGTAACATGACTGTCGACTCATGGATTGAACTGTGAAAGGTTCGATAAAGTAAAACTCTCGAGGCTTAAATATCTTCAATTGTAAACCAACAAATATTTCAGCAAATTTTTGAAATGGTTGGTGTCGATGTTTCCCGTGATGGACTCCTTGATTCTTGAATACACTGATTCAGTGAATATCGTGTGTCAAAGTTGCTTCAAACTTCTTGTTTCGACTAAGCATTAGGCACGTAGGCTGGATGAACATGCAGGTTCGGTTGCTGAACTCGTTGGTTGGTTTGGCAGGCCGAGTGAACAGTGAACTCGTTGGTTCAATGCGTAACACAGAACGGATGATCTGCAAACTCTGTGCAATTTTCAGAGTTTGATTCAATACACAAAGTCAAAACACTTTCTAAAATGTCTTACCTTGAGTTTATTTCCTGAACATGAACACGTTGCTATGAGCACTACACTGCATGTCTACACAAGCTACTCCTTGTCAGAATTGCAGAATCTTTTGAAATTACATTACTTTTACTCCCGTCCTGGGGCCCTAATTCTCGAAAGGCCCAGAAACTTTTTGGGCCCGTAAAGCCATTTTCAGTTCATCTGTATCTAAAATTGGAGAAGTGTATGCACCTGAAACTTCTTGTATGAAGAGAATCTCTGTTCATATTAAGAACATGTGAATTTAACAGCTCTATAATCGTAAGATTCGAGATTTTGCTTAATGGCTTTACGGGCCCGAAAAGTTTACAGGGCTTTTGAGAAACGGGCCCCTGAAGTCATGTCATCTTGCATGTGCTTCCAAGTTTAACCCAATAAAAGTAGTTCCAGCTGTGACGTAATTTCATTGTCAATCAAATTTGTCGTTTTGCATCGACAATGAAAAAGGAACCCCAGGCAAAGCTTACCATGGCCTGCCACAGGTCTCCCACGGAATAACACCNAATACAGATCGCGGATTTAAAGCAGCTTCCTGGACTTAAGAAAACAAAAATGGTAATGTACAGGTATTCCTTCAAAGTTGAATTCAACTTTTAGAACAATAATTGGTAAAGCCACGGCCGATAAAATAACTACAAAACTCGTTGGCAAAATCTCAAGCTTTCGCTTTAGCGTGAAAAATTAATTTTAACATGCGGTCATTTAGCGAATCACGTCTGCAAAATTTTGAACATTTTTATGCTGTTAGGTAAGTGTTTTTTGCCTTATCTTGAATGAAAATTTATTGTTATTGAACTCCCTGTCATGTTTCTTTCATTTGGTTGCATTTATTTGGGAATTTTAGGTTTTAAAAGTGAACAGTATTTTTGCATGCTGAATTTCTGCATATTTAATTTACGGCGACCCCCGTGGTTTGTTTTTTAGTTTATGCGCTTCGTTCAAATATATTTTTTTGAGTCTTATTCAGCTACTACAGAACTCCTGAGAAAAGAACAAAGTGGGAACTAATAAAATTAACACAGTTGAAATACGATTTATCTCAAAATAATTGGCTTGTTTCTGTCGCCTTTTCGATGTACAACTTTCATCTTTCTTCCACTGCACTGTATTATTTTGTCGTGTGGCAAAGAAATTATCTGATTTCTTCTTTTTAAGTTGGTTTTTACACGTGTCTTTCACCTTTATTTTCTGGTGTTTTCTCAAATGTTGTCCGTTATAGTAAAAGAGTGGAAATTTTGTTGTATTCGGTCTCGTTTTGTCCCCTGGAGTAAAAAATTAACTCATTTTTGCATATTCAATTTTCTCAGCTTTTGTCGTGCAGCAAAGAAAAAAATATAATCTCTTGTTTTCTTATCAGTTTTACAGATCAAGTTGAGTTCTTTTTGTTGATATTTTTTTAATATTTTGGCCCTTCATTAATTCAACTTTAAATAAACGATGTTGTGAAACCTGATCTTGTGTCTGTGGTTACTGCACATATGGTTTATTTTTGTGCTTCTGCTCGCTCTGAAATATTTCACAAAAACGCCAGGGAATTATGGGTGGGTTGCGGGCAATTTCATGCAGGCATCAATGGGTTAAACCCACCAAAAAATCACAAATTCGTTACAGCCCCACATCTGGTCAAAAACACGAAACATTTAGTGACTCATACCCTATCAAAAACTTCGCTCTGTTCAATCCATAATCACTTTCACAAGCAAGGGACCGACGCTGAAAGGCTTCACTACTTTTATGGATTGCTGTTTAATAACAAGGGAGAGGAATGTGAATTATTTTGGAGTCATTGATTAAATGTTAATAAGATAATGATGTACTTTTGCCGAGCTCCATGCGTCGCAATAGTTATTCTGAATACACCAGCACTTAATATTTGAATGTAATATCTTACAGAAGGTTAGTTAAATATGACTTTTCTGCCATAGTTTAAGTCCAAACACTGAGGAAATCAAATGCGAGAAGACATTTTCACATTCCTTTTGATTATCTGGTGACAGGCACTTGCCTACTGTTTTCGTTTCTAGCGGGGTGGTGTTGTGATTATCATGATTTTGAGACCATTAGTACTCAGCGCTGATGAAAAGCCCAAAAATCATTTTTACACCAGGTTTTACTCTTACATTTCTTCTTTTGAAATGTCAGAATTTTAGGTGTTTCAGTGTTTTACCGGGTAGTAAATTTGCCGATTGAAAAAGTGTTCATAATTAGGAATTCTGAGGAAGCAAATTTTAGTGATTTTAAGCAGCTCGTCGTGACCTTGAAAATTAACCCACAGAACCATAATTGGCTTCAAAAGACTTGTTAATCCCTTAACAATAAATTTCCAGGCTCAAACTGGAATGTTATTGTGATGCAGAATGGGCAGAGTGAAGTTTATGATAGGGTATGAGTCACTACATTTTGGGTGTTTTTGACCAGACATGGGACCGTAACGAATTTGTGATTTTTTGGCGGGTTTAAAAAACTATTTCAAGAAAAAAAACCCCACCACATTTCTAGGCTTACCATAGGCTATCTCTGGGAGGAAAATTTAAAAAAATATCCATTTTTCATCTTGTGCCACGACTGGCTCCACATTAGTGAACATTCCCTCTTAATAGTGCATGAATGTAGTGAAAACTCAAGATGTAATCGGATCGTCACATTTACAAAGAGGCAAGATGACATCTGAAATGTAAGCTGCCTTTGCTTCTACTCAAATCCCTTCTAAGTGGCTCAAAAAGACCCAGGAACACAGGTTCAGGTCCCCTGTGCATTGGGCGAGCAAGGAGATTTTCATGAACACAAATCAAATGGGAGCTTTAAAATTGCTTACAGGTCAAACTTTAAGCTTGTTTATTTGTTTTTAAAGCGGTGATGCAGTGAATAAAATCCCAACTTGCGGTGTTGCCAACTAGCGCCCGTTTTATGAACCTCATATTGCAGTAGAAGTTTTCATGGAGTGCTACACCTGTATGCTTTAATCACCGATCACTTTGTACTTCTTCCCTTGCATGTAC